GCGGGGAACTCTGCAAAAAACGCATCTTCGCACGGGCAGCCCGTGCGTTGGCCATTTATTATGTCTTTGTATGTGTCTATATGTGTGCGTGTTAAATATTAACTCCAAGACTTCAATGGCTAGAAAGCTGAAATTTTGCAGGGATAGCCTTAGGTTATTTCGTGGCTCTGAAAGACGAATGCAATTTTAACTTCACTTGTTTGCTGATATATCGACAGGCATTTTGTGGAGTAAAATTTAATCATTTATGAAGAGGATAAGGCGGTTCTTTACAGTTCGCATGGGGAGCTATGTTATCCAGGTAAAAATGAACGGGTTGTGGACCGGAAATCATTGAGTTCTGCTTACAGTTTCATTTTCCTTTACACTCAGCATGCATCTTATTGCTGGGAGGAGGGGGAAGGGAGGTTAGCCACTCAACATGCACTTATTTTTGGGTTCGGGTTTGAGTAGCGAAAACCGCAACGCCATGTTTTTTTTTAATGCGGTTTTTGCATCTCTGCAATACAGGAAACGCATAGTGACGACGGGTTGTGTGTGTGCGTCTGTACCGATTTTTCATCTCACGACCTCTAAAAGCTGAAGGGCTGAAACTTTGGGAACTTAATCTGTTTGTGTGGCTCCAATCCTCAGAAGGAGCGTCCTTACCTGTGTGGTACCCACGTACGGGCCCGCCGAAGTTTCAAGCAGGCAGTCTGCTAATTCGGGAACCAGAAAAGCTAGACGACTGGAATTTTAAGGGGATGCTTCCCGTCCAAGTAAGTATTAATGAGCTGAAAGCCAATTCCCAGGTATGCATAGTTCTTATGTGCAGGTCCGTGAAAGTTTTTTGCGGGCAAATTACTAACTCGGGAACCAAGAAGGCTAGAAAGCTGAAATTTTACAGGGATGCTTCCTGACGTTCCGGCACCCAGTCTCAATTTTTTTGATTAAAAGCATCTGCTTGGAAAAAAGCAGTGCCATTAGCGACAAAAATCTGTGGGGAACTATGCAAAAAATGCATCTTCGCACCGACAGTCGATACGCTGGCCATTCATCTAGTCAAGTTTCTAATTTGTACGTTCAAGACTGCCAATTTCCCCTTTGGCACTAAATCTCATGCCGAGCAAAAAAAAACTTCTGGGGGCGTTGCCTCTTCCACAAACCCCCGCTGTCTCCAATTCTTGCCTTCACCCGGGGTCTTCATAAACACTAGCCTTGCCCCTGTCCTCGGTATGACCCTGGAGACCTAGCCCACCACCTCGGCCTCTCCCCCTCCCACTCTTTCCATCCCACCTCGGTCACTACTACCTTCCCCTCCCCCGGTCATCGCAACTGGACTCTTGACCTGGCTAAGGCAGGCCGAATTTTAGTATATGCGCAGGACGGCTCGGCCGCGCAGTGTGAACTCGTTTTTAGGCTCGAGATTGAATTGCGAAAAAAGTAATGTTGCGGGATTTTTGTTTAGCAGAAGTTCCAAGTGTTCATGTTTGAGTTTGGGGTAATTTCCTTTCAGCACTAAGTTTCAGGCTGAGCATAAGGAGGTCAGAGGAG